CTCCCTCCTCCCTTCCTGTGGACCCCTCAGCTGGCCCCAGGAGAACTGTGTCCCAGAGTATCTTGCACCCCCTAAATGGGATCCATTTCTAGGATTGGGTATGTCAAATTTTATTTCCCCTCTCTCTCAAGAATGTCAGAAATCTGAAAGCAGGGTGTTCCTTTATGGAATGCAGCAGGCTTCTGGACAGGGAAGGCAGGGGAGGTGTGCACAGACAGCGGTCCCCCCCCCCCACCACACACATACCCCAGATCAGTGAAAGGAGCCCTTGGGCCCAGCCCATGCGTTGGTCCCCAAGCTGACCCGGGTCCCCTTCTTTCACCTTCTCTGGCAGATCACAGGCGCTTAGCAATGCCTTGAGATCAAAGGAACTTCTGCGCCAAACCCCAGGCATGGAGGGTACAATTTATTTTTTAAATTTTCAATAAAAAATTCTAATCTTAAGTCCGTGGGGCCCACAGAGCAGTAGCTGCAGAACAGCAAAGCCTTAACCAAATAATGCGATTGTGAGCGGGACAGCGATTGAAACCCCCAGCTTTCTCTGTAAGAGGGATTTTAGTGGCACAAAAGGAGTGGCTGGGGCGGGGGGGGGGGCGGCAGGCAGCTCTGCTTGGCTCCCAGTCTGTAGGCAGAGTAGGGGTGGGGGGGCCAAGGTTGGACATCTGCGACCGCCTCCCCACGGCAGCTGAGCACCCAGGGTCGAGTTGTTGGGGTCCCTGAGCAGTTGAGACACTGGCGGCCAGGACTGTAGTGTGTACATCTATCTGTGTGTGTGTGTGTGTGTGTGTGTGTGTGTGTGTGTGTACAAGCGTGGATGAGTCACACACACACACACACACACACTTTGCAGAGTTGGAAGTATCCGGGGAACATGAGAAAGGGTGACCTATGGAAAGAAAGTCACCTTCCTTTTTAAATAAAAACTAATTAAAAAAATTATAATCCCAGACTTCATCCCCCCCCCCCCCAACCTCCCGAAAAATCACTATTTTCCAGAACAGAGTGAAAAGCAAAGAGAGGCAAGGTGAGTCCTGTCCAGGACCCCAGCCCCACCTACGGTCTCCCCAGGTCAGACCTGTGGAGGCTGGGGGTGGGAGTGCTTAATTCACCCTGGGAACCCCTCAAAAGGCTGGTCTTGTCTCCAACTTGTAGCCTCGGGGACTCCAGGCCATTGACTGCACCCCACTCAGGCCCTAGGCACAGGCTGTAAATTCTTCTCCTATAATTAGTACTCATGAAAAACATGTGCTTGGGGTCGGAGGGGGGGAAATCTGGAACAGCGAATGGCAATTGTCCCCTTTTACTCCTTCCCCTTGTTTTGCCGAATTTTTGTTTTATATCCACTAATTACAGCTTCTCAAATGGGGGGGGGGGGAGATGTGCTGCGGATGCCCAGTTCCCCCAGAGTGCCCAGTTCCTAGGACCAAGGGTCTGAATCCCGTTGCCGCTATGCAGACGTGCGGGCCTGCCGGGCCCTGCCTGCCGGGAGGTGTTCTGTGGCTTGTCGGAGAGAAACAAAGAACAAGTTCGCTCTCCTCCTTCCTAGACCGGGTGCATAGTTACCGAGCCCAACTGCAGTTTTAATAAAACATCTGTTCTTGCTTCTGCTGATGAGTTTCCATAATTGTTTTCAGACAGATTTAACAGGAGAATATAAATATAGTTAGAAAAAAAATTCAAGTTCTATCTCTCCCCTACACACACTCACACAAACACGTACATGCACACACAGAGCCATCCTTTTCACCAATAATAACAATAATAAAATTAACATGAAACAACTGGGAAAGGAAAATATAGACCAATGGAGGGACAATCGGGTTCATCTGACCTGCTCTTTCCCCCCTTGGAGCGAATCCTTCCAGCAAATTCCAGCTGCATAATTAAAGATCAGTCTGAATGGAGGAAGCTTCTTGCCGCAGGAACGGAAGGTGATGGGGGGAGGAGATCAGCTTTGCTGACAGTCTGTGGCCGTGGGGAAGTGTATTTGTATTTCTGCCCGCCTGTCTGTCCCCCGTCCAGCATTTCTGCCCCCCCCCCCCCCCCAGCAGCTGGTTTCTGTTCAATATGAATCCGCAAGACCCTTCAGTCCCTGCCCTCTGTTTAGGGGACGTCATAAAACACTTAACTTTCCGGGCCTGAGACTTACACTCCGCTCTTCAGGTCGGCCTCCGCCCCCCTCCCACCATCCCACTGCCTTTAGACCCCAAAAGAGAATCTCCCCAATTTGGGGACCACTGCATGTCCAAACTGAATTGAGGGGAGGCCCCAAGAAAACCTCGATATTCTTGTTGGGGGCCTATAGCTTATGCCTCCTCAGGACCCTTTTCTTCCTCTCTTTCAGGTCCCCTCCTCCTCCCTACCCATAAAAGTGATTTTAAAATACATAGAAAATCAACACCCATTGAAAGCAAAACCTCATTAAGAATCCTATCTTCCATCATTCAATTTGTTGTACATTGCAACAATTTAATACCTTGAAGGAAATATCACTGACATGATTTATCCCTCCAGCAATTGCTGTCTCTCTCTCTCTCTCTGAAATGGGGGGGTGGTGGAGGAGGTGTATTCTCCCAGCTTCTTCTCCTTGTTACATAGCTACCCTCAGGGCAAGAAAAGAGGTTGGGTACTCTGGGAGAGGCTACTTGTGGCTAGGGGTGCAACCACTTGCTTTCTAGCCTAGCCTCTAGGGTACTTCTCCCTACCCCACACACACTTGTTCCTTCTCCCCCCCCCCCCCAAATCCCCTGCCCTCCAGGGGCCTGTAGCCCCAGCCAGCTGTTAGCTGTTGCAAACCTCTGCCCAGGCACGCTGTGAATTTGAAGACAGCTGGATGTGGATCAGAGAGCCAAAAGCAGTTCTCCGCGTATAGTGTCTCCTGCTTGCCTACCTGCCTTGTCACCCCAAGATGAGGTCCCTCGTTTATAAAGTTCTCTCTCCCATTTTCAAGACCCAATCTCTCATCCCTTTTCACCTCGGTTTCCTTGGAACTGGGAGAAAGTGTGGTCCCAGAAGGAGAATCTCCCTAGTGGGAGGGGTCTTCTTTCTCTTACCTTTCTAAAGACCAGCCAGCTTCCCTCTTTTCTGAAGGGCTGGGCTGTATTTCTCTCAAAGACAGCATGCACTGACTGGCAAGAAGACCCCACAGCCCTCTCACAAGGTATTAACTAGCACTGTGTCCCCACCAACCCCTACACACTGTTTGCTTCTGGGTCCCAAACTTTATTTCCACATAGCCCCCCCACTCACACACAACCCCCGCCCCAGAGACGCTCCAGGGATACAGAAGATGAATAAACTGAGTTTTTTTCCCCCCTTCCCAGCGTAGTCCCGTTTATGGCTTTATTGCGACCCATTGATTACTCCGCTTTGTTACACAGAAGGAAAAGATCATAAAATCCTGCGACATCCGGGTTCTTGTGATAGCCAGTGCCTCCCACCCCCCCCCCAAAATGATGAGGAGGGAAAATAGGAGGTTTTCATCCGCTGTGCGCGCACCTCATGTCCCCTCTTTGTCACCTCAGCGCGTTTTCTGTCGCGACATCAGATTCAGTTTGAGTTGCGCAGGAAGGAAGGAGGAAGCCCCCCGTGAGCGCACCTTCGGCAGTGGGCTGGCCCACAGCCGCACCAGCTGCGGCTTCTCAAGTGCTCTTCCTCCTCAGCTCCAAGTCGGGGAGCGGGGAGAGTAGAGAATGGGGGGCAAAGGCAGCTGAGAGTTCCAGCGCCAGCAAGAAGGGCTGGCACTTGGGCTTGAGCTCCCCAGGAGCCTTTGCTAGAGTGTTAGAGCCTCAGAACACCCCCAAGGGGGTGGGGGCAGGGGGCTTCTGACCTGGACAGGGGCTTGAGCTGACTGTCCATCAGAGCCCCCCCCCCCAGCCTTCTCTCTCTGGCTGGAACCTCCGTGCAGTACCCCCACCGGCTCTCGCTGGCTCCAAATCATAAATTCTCACCAACATAAACAGCAGTTGATGTCTCCAGAAAGACCCAGAGTTTCTTTCTTCTGCCTTTCGCACCCTCTCCCACCTTTCACTTCATTTTCTTCCTGTTCTATTGTATGTTTGTACATTTTCCCTTTTAGGAAAAAAAATAATAATAAAGACATGCTGCAAGAGTTTCCCAAAAAGAGAGGGAACAGGGAGATCAGAGGCGTGGGTAGCCCCTGGGCCCCCACCAGCTCTGCCACTATACCCTAAAGTCTCACCCTTGCCCCTCGCCCACCCTTCGAGAACTTACTCACCCCCTCCTATGTCTCCCTGCATCCAAGACTCTTGGTCACACCCTCCTTCCTCCTGGTACTGTGTTTCATGAAATTTCTATTTCTGTTTTTTTTTTTTTAATTGTGGGTTTTTTTTTTTTTTTTAGAGGGGCAGAATATATGACTCTGTGATGGAAGCTCACTCCACTGAGGGTCAAAAACCAGGATTTCTTGTAGGGATTCTGGGGGAACCTCCTGAGCTGAGTGGGAGTGCTTCCCACCCAGTCATCAGGATGTAATTTTAGAAGGAGGTCGATGTAAAATCAGATTGTAAGGACAGGGGTTGCTTGGGCCCTGGCTCTGCTCACAGCACAACCACAGCTGGCTAGGGCTAAGCCATTTCCCTCTTCACAGCTGTCCTGGGGAGAGGGGTGAGCAGGAGCCTCTGGGGGACAGGCACCCCTCCTTCACCCCCAAACCCGCGCCCTCCCCTATGCATTTTAAAGAGAAAGCCAAGTCTCACTTTCAAAGCCCACACTTAGTCTCAACTAGGGAATCAACAGAAGCAGAAGCGATTTTTTTCCCCCTTCTTGACATCTGGCTCGCGATTGGCTGGAAGGGGGTCAGCTGACTTTGTCATTTTGTCTGTCCTGGATTGGAGCCGTCCCTATAACCATCTAGTTCCGAGTACAAACTGGAGACAGAAATAAATATTAAAGAAATCATAGCCCGACCAGGTAAAGGCAAAGGGATGAATTCCTACTTCACTAACCCTTCCTTATCCTGCCACCTCGCCGGGGGCCAGGACGTGCTCCCCAACGTCGCCCTCAATTCCTCTGCCTATGATCCAGTGAGGCATTTCTCGACCTATGGAGCGGCCGTTGCCCAGAACCGGATCTACTCGACTCCCTTTTATTCGCCACAGGAGAATGTCGTGTTCAGTTCCAGCCGGGGGCCGTATGACTATGGATCTAATTCCTTTTACCAGGAGAAAGACATGCTCTCAAACTGCAGACAAAACACCTTAGGACACAACACACAGACCTCAATCGCTCAGGATTTTAGTTCTGAGCAAGGCAGGACTGCACCCCAGGACCAGAAAGCCAGTATCCAGATTTACCCCTGGATGCAGCGAATGAATTCGCACAGTGGTGAGTTTTACAGCTCCGAGATATAAATTAAATAAACTGAACTGGCTTTATGACCGGCTTCCCTAGAAGAACGGGCGGAGAGAGTTTTTTATGACCCCATAAAAACAATCACGCTCGTCTCCTCGCCGACGCCGAGACAGGGCCCCCTCTTCTGCCCCCTCTGCTCGCCTGCTTGCTCGCTCACGGGAGCCTGGCCCCCTCGGCCCCTGACAGATTGGAGGGGCTCCAGGGCGAGCTGAGGGGGCAGGAACAGGGCAGCGGGGCTGAGGGGAGGGGGATCCCCCAAAGTCAGGTTGAGAGAGAGCGAGAGAGAGCGGGAGAAAAGAGGGCAGAGAAGTGGGGGAGAAGTTTCTAGGAAGCTAGGGTACTGAGGGAGATGGGGAAACCTAGTCCTTGAAAATTGGGGACCCCATCCCCCGCTCGCTGGGATTTTATATATTTTTTAAAAATTATCTTTTAGACTGGTAGCTTTCTTCTGCCTTTTTTTTTTTTTTTTTTGCTCCACCTCTCCCACCCACGTTTTTCTGGGGACTCACCCCACCCCCAGGGGAGCACCGAATGAGGCTGGGGTCCCCCCACCCGGGTTGTACCCCGTTGTGGGGGTGGGGCAGGGAAAAAGGGAGAAGGCTCCGGCCCGGCGGCGGCAGGGGGCCCCTGGGCTGCCCGGCCAAGTTGGGAGGGTCAGGGAGTTGGTGAGGCGGCGGAAGGGGCTGCGGGGGACGCCTCGCTGATTGTTTTTAGTGTGTTTTGTGCCCGGATCTCCAGGGGTTGGCTACGGAGCGGACCGGAGGCGCGGCCGCCAGATCTACTCGCGGTACCAGACCCTGGAACTGGAGAAAGAATTCCACTTCAACCGCTACCTAACGCGGCGCCGGCGCATCGAGATCGCCAACGCGCTCTGCCTGACCGAGCGGCAGATCAAGATCTGGTTCCAGAACCGCCGCATGAAGTGGAAAAAAGAATCCAACCTCACGTCCACGCTCTCGGGGGGCGGCGGAGGGGCGGCCGCTGACAGCCTGGGCGGCAAAGAAGAGAAGCGAGAAGACACAGAAGAGGAAAAGCAAAAAGAGTGACCAGGACTATGGTCTCTGCCACCCGGCTCTCCTCCTCCCTCGCTAACCTCTCCCCCGGCGCGCACACACACACACACACCACCACCACCACCACAGCCGCCGCCACGGCCACCACCATCCCAGGCGCCCCTAAACCACACACTCTGTATTTATCGCTGGCACAATTGATGCGTTTTGGACGCCCAACGTGGACCTGAAAGTCAGCTCTGCCGTCCCCCAGCCCCCACCACCACTTCACCGCACAACTCTGACCACGCACCTCTCCCCGCCACCCGCCCCCCACCCCTTGCTTCCTGACTAGCTCCTTCTAGACTCCTCTGCAAGCCCCTTTCCCCCGGCCCAGGCCTTGGGGGCTCGGGGCCCCCCTCAACCTAGCTTCAGATTGCCCTGCAAATGAGGACTTGACTTTCCTCCACACACACCACAACCAACCACCACTCCCTGGGCGCCCCCCACTCCTGCCCCCCGTGCAGAAGGCCGGGTTCCCGGGCCGGGGCCTTCGATTTGGGGCCTTGGGCCGGGCCTGGTAGCCGGGACCCGGCAGGAGGCCCGAGGAGGAGGAGGTCGAGCCTCGGCCCCACAGCTACCCCCAGGGCCTCGCCCTGCAACCCCCCCCCCGCTCTCAACCCTTGTGGCCCCCACCCCACAAACCTCCCAGCAACTGCCCAGCCCAGGCAAATTGTATTTAAAGAATCCTGGGGGGAGTCATCATGGCATATTACAAACTGTGACCGTTTCTGTGTGAATATTTTTAGCTGTATTTGTGGTCTCTGTATTTATATTTATGTTTAGCACCGTCCGTGTTCCAATCCCATTTTAAAAGAAGGAAGGGAATTAAGAAAAAAAAGGGGGGGGGGGGAAATGACACAAAAAAAGGTGAATGACGTTTGTTTAGCCAGTAGGAGAAAATAAATAAGTAAATAAAGCCCCCCTCCCCTCGTGTAACCCTCTTGTATAAAATCGACCTCTGGATCCGTTCTCGAATATTTAATAAAACTGATATTATTTTTAAAAGTTGATAGCTGATGGCTTGTGTTCCTTGCTCGCCCGCCGGCTCGGAGCCAGGCCCCAAAGCGTTGCCGTATCTACCGTCCGCTGCCTGCAGTTCCCCCCCGCGCCGCCCCAGCCCCCTGCAAGCGCCTTTTCCCGGGCCCGGGGCGCGCTGGGACCCCCGTTCTCCTGTGCTCGCGCCGCCGTGGGGGCTGGGACTGGGAGGCCTCTGCGGGCTCCCCAAGCGGGGTAACACACACCCCACAAAAAGAAAATAAAACAACTAGAGAGGCCACCTTAGGATTTCGTTGGGGGCGGGGGAGGAAGCCCTGGGGGTTCCAGCCTCACCCAGGCCTTGCTTCTCGCCTGTGGGAGGGAGCCTGGGATTCCTGAACCCCCGAGTCTCTCCATCCTCCGAGTGGCAGGAGGGATGAGGGGACTCCCGAGCCCCCTCGGGAGAATCGGGGGTCCCGGGGCAGCTCGAGCGCCAGGCCGGCAGTTGCGAAACGTGACACGGAGGCGGAGAGCCAGGGGCAGGAAGGAGAAGCCAGCGGGACTTCGGCAGGGACTGCGCGATTCAAGGACATCTCGAAAGAAAAAGCTTGGAAACTAAGCGTGCCCAAGGCCTCCCGGACCCAAAATTCCTTCTTTCGCCCGGGCCCGGGGCACGTCTGCCGGCTCACTTCTTTCTGCTCAGGCCCCAGCGGGTGAGGGGAGCAGCCGGACACCCCCACCCGGCGCCAGCCAGCTTTGTCGTCCCCAAGCCCAGCCAAAGAAACCTGAGTGGGCGGCCTAGGGGAAGAGGTGGCGAACGAAAACGGGGGCTCCCAGGAGAGAAGGAGGGAGGGAGCTAACTAGCAAAAAAAAAAAAAAAAAAGCCACCAGAGTTTCCCAGACTCCACAGCTCCCCGCCAGCGCCCCCCGCCAGCGCCCCCGCCAGCGGGGAGGGGGCCTTCTCCTGGCAAAGGGCGGAGATTTCCTGGGGAGAGAAGCTAGCAGGGAAGAATAAAACCTGGGGCAAGGGGAGGAGGAGAAGGGGGCCCCTCGGAATGGCTGTCTCAGCCCCCAGCCGGCCTCAGCGTGCGCTGTTGCTACCCCCCTTCAGCTGGGTCTCCCCCAGGGGTCCCCTCCTCGCCCCTCCATTAGCCCACAGGAGTCTGTCCAGGTTCCTTTGGCACTCTGGCCCCAGGAAAGCCTTTGCCCTCACCACAGGGCACACAAGAGGCCCCGTGCCTCTGCCTGGCTCTCCTGCTTGGCTCTGTCTCTCCATGCCTTCCAGTCACATGGACTTGCTATCCCCAAGTAGCTGGCAAAGCCCCCCCCCCCCAGGTCACAGCTCATTAGCCCTGCAACCCATTGTGCATCCTTCTGCCCACCTACTCTAAAACTGCCCTGTGCCCACTCTGGGGTGCCTGGCATAGGCCCACTCTGCCTGGCTCCTGCCCTCCGGGCTCACCCGGGAGGGCCCCCTTCCTCCACAGACTGCCTCAGGGGGCCCTCCAGGTGGACATCTTGTCCATCTCTCTGGAGGGTGTGGTCTGTCTCCCACCTCAGCAGTAAAGAAGCAAGGAGGGCCATTGGCCTTTGGCTTGGGGAACCAGAGGCAACCCCCTCCGCCCAACTTTGCTTTGCAGCCTGGGCAGGGACCACCCTACCTAATTACCCTCTCTGCAGGTATTTTTGAAGTTAGGAAGACCCCAGAAGTAAGGACAACGAGACTATTCTTTGAAAACCAAAATAGCCCCTCTGTGCATCCTAAGCAGGGCCTCCTCCTCTTTCCGATGTAAATAGAATTTAAAAGTATGGCTCAACATCAGCCATCAGCTTCTTGGCCCGGTGGAGAGCGCAGCCGGCGCGGCAGGATGCAATTCCTACAAATAGGCACCAGGTGTCGCTGTGGACTCGTTGTGTTGGCTACCCCCCATCCCAAGAACCATTTTTTTTCCCTCCCCCTTCCCCCTCTCCCTTTCTCTCCTCTCTCTCCCTCTCCCCCTTGGTTGGGCTTTGCCAACATATCAAGATGCGTTTCGCCGGCTTCCATCACTAACCTCCCGGAGGTCATCAAGCCAAATTTATGAGTGGCCGCTGGAGTCACGTGACTCTATTTAAGGCTCCCTTATTTGGGAAGAGCGCATAGGATAAAGAAAGAGATATCTCCACCTATAAATTGTGCACTTTGGAGAACAAAAAAGCCCCTCAACTTCAAAGAGTCACAAATCACCCTTAATCAAAAAGGGTGCAGAAATTTTTTTTGGGCCCTCCCCGCCATGAGCTCCTACGTAGCCAATTCATTCTATAAGCAGAGCCCCAATATCCCTTCCTATAACATGCAAACTTGTGGGAACTATGGATCGGCCTCAGAGGTGCAGGCATCCAGGTACTGCTACGGTGGATTGGACTTAAGCATCACTTTCCCACCGCCTGCGCCTTCCAACTCTCTCCACGGGGTAGACATGGCTGCCAGCCCCCGGGCTCACCCCGAACGCCCCGCCTGCAGCGCCACGGCCGCTCCGGGACGCGCTCTGGGCAGAGACGAAGCGGCTTCTCTGAACCCCGGGATGTACAGCCAGAAGGCGGCCCGCCCGGCGCTGGAAGAGCGAGCTGCGAGCGCTGGGCAGATCAAAGAGGAGCAGGCGCAGCCTGGGCAGCCCGCAGCGCGGAGCCAGCCGCCGGCCCCGCCACAGATTTACCCGTGGATGACCAAACTGCACATGAGCCACGGTAAAAAACTTTAGGACTTCATTTTGCGCGCTCGGGTCCGCCTGGGTTTTATAGGCCATGCGGGGCAAATAAAGAAAAAAAAACCTGCGGCCATAAATTTTACGATCCAGGCATCAATGGCTCGTAAAACTGTCCACTAAAAGGCTTAGAGGCTGTGTGCGCCCAAATTTACGACGACATAATTGGATCATAGGAACAAAACGTGTATAAAAGGCAATATTCAATTTTGGGGGGAGAGGGAGGGAGTTAAAAAAATAGAGGGATCTGAAGGGTGAGCGGCGCGGGGGTCTCCGGCGCGGGGATCCCCCCGCGGCTCACCCCGCTCGCTCGTGCGCTCCCCTCCCGCCCTCCCCTGCGGACCGAGCCCGCTCGGCCCCGGCGCGCTCGCCGCCCCGGAGGCTCCCAGCGCCACTCGACTCGGGAGGGGCGGGAGGGGGGTCCCCGGTGCCCGGACCTTGAGGGTGCTGGCCGTTCGGTCCGAGCCTGGGTCTCCCTCTTCCGCCCACCCCCTCCCCCTCCGCCCCTCCGGGCCGGCCGCCGAGTGAAGGCTGCGGTGCAAAGTTTCCTTCCCGGGGCGGGCGGGCGTGCGTGTGGGCGGGCGGTGGAGGCGCCTTGGCCCCGGGGCTCCGGGCCCGCGCTGGGCCTGCCCGGCCGCGCTCCCCTCTCTCCCTCTCCGGTCGTTCGCGTCGGGGGGGAAAAGGGGGCACCCCCGGGGCTGGGCTTTGCGGGGGTGCGTGGCACGCTGTTCATTCCTGCCTGGGGTTTTTTGGGGGGGTTGGGGGTGCGGTTTCTGTTACAGAGACGGACGGCAAGCGGTCGCGAACCAGTTACACGCGCTACCAGACCCTGGAACTCGAGAAAGAATTCCACTTTAACCGCTACCTCACTCGCCGCAGGCGCATCGAGATCGCCAACAACTTGTGTCTCAACGAGAGACAAATCAAGATTTGGTTCCAAAACCGAAGGATGAAGTGGAAGAAAGATTCCAAGATGAAAAGCAAAGAGGCGCTTTAGAGGCAGCGGGACGATCCCCCGCAAGCCGGCGGTGCTCCCCGCGTCTCTCCTGACTTCCCTTCTCCGTTTTCTTCTCTTTCTGTATTTTGGGGCCAGGGGAGGGGTGGGGGGCTCTCAGACAAAAAAAAAAAAATGCTCTTTCCTTCGGCATCCGCATTCCCACCGACCTATCTACCCCGGAGTTTCCGTGGGGGACTGCCCTGTCTCCCCTCATCTGGGTTTAACCAGCACCAGAGGCCTGAAACAGGCTGGCACGGAGCGAATCCGGCTGGGCTTGGGCGGACTCTCATTTGCTCCCAGGTCTTTGGGGCCCACCCCGAAGTGGCTGTGGGCCGGTCTGGTGCCATGGGCCCCTGGCTCAGACCCTGCAAGCTTTGCTCTCTCCCCTTTGTTCCTGGTGAGGCGGGCCAAAGCTGCTGCAAGGATGGCGGGCTGGAGAGTGAGAGAGTGCCTGAGCCGATGGGAAGTGGGTCTCCAGTCTTGGGGTGCTTCCTCCTAGAGATTTAACTGTATCTTCATTTAGTGGTGATCTATATGCGAAAAGGGGAAGTAGTCATTGACTACCCAGGGGTCCCCTCAGTTGCCCTGCACCGGCTTTTGGAAACACCGTTCTGAAACCTTGGGAGAAGCCTCGGGGACTCCCCTCCTCAGCCCAGCCCGCTGCATGCTCTCGGGCCTCAGCCCCAGATTGCTAGTTAGTGCAAATGTTGGGGTGTCCTGCCACGGAACCCAGCAAGCGTTCCTAGAGACCCCTTTGCTGGTCCACAGTCCCTGCCACTCTGTGCCCTCCTGCTCCATCGCTGATGTCCAACTATTTATTGACTGCGGGTCTTTCCTGAAACTATATTTTGTCATATATCAAATAAAAATGAAGAGAGAACGGGGCTCAAAGTGCAGTGGCTCCCGTCTGTTTGGGCCATGTGTTTGGGGTGAAAGTGTCTAAACGGGGTGGTAAGATGTAGGAAGAGGCCTACAGTCTTTAAGACTTTCTTAAAAAAAAAAAAAAAGCTTTAGAAACTTCTAGGAACAAGGAGAAAACAGAGATGAACGTGGCCTTCTTGCTGATTTCTCGCAAAGGCGAGCAGCCAGAGGGATAAGGGGAGGGTTTGCTGCCTCAGCCTTGGCTAGGTGTTCAGGTGGCTGTACCCCATCCTACTCTGACTGCGGGTAACTGAGACCCCTAGCCCAGTATCAGCTTACCCCTGTGCACCAGAGCTCCTTAGTAGGGACAGTAGGGACCCGTGGCTCCGCCGTGTTAGATTCGGTCCTTCCGGGCCTGACAGAGGGATGCAAGCGGGCGGGGTGGGTGAGGTGCACTTCAGCTGTTCCGGGCAAGGAACCTGCTTGGCAAGGAAATCTTCTGACAGTCTTCAGACAGTCATGTCTGTTAGCCATCATTTATCTCCATCTCTGGGATTTTGTGTATGTGGAGTTGGGGTGGGGGCACAGTGCTGAATGGCAGCTAATTCAGGTGGTACCCGAGGCGGGCCTGGACCTGGGCTGTTACTCGGCTGGGATGAGCTGGGGAAGGAAGCTCTTTACAGGAGCAACAAATGTGGGGAGGGTCCATAAAACTTTTACTGCATTTCCTCTCCCACCTCCCACAACGGGGTGATTTCCTGGAGCCAACCTAGGCCCCCCACACTGCTGGGGTGGGGACCCTCTGCGGTGGGTGTGGGTGGCGAGTGGGAATTGCTACAATTATTAATGCTGAGGTGCCTTGAATTATTATTTTTTTTTTGTAAGGACTGACTTCACCACATCCCACTGCCTTCACCACTGGATTATCATAGGGAAAAAAAAGGCACCCCCTCCTCGCCACACCATGCCACCATCGTTCCCCCACCACCAGCCAGGCCAGGGCACTGCCCAATGTTTTTGTTTCTTCTCAACTTGCACGTAGCAGTCAGCCCAGCCCAGCTCTCTCCTCCTCTCTCTCTCTCTCTCTCTCTCTCTCTCTCTCAAATAAAATGTGTAATTTTCTTCAGGGAGTTATTTTAATTTTTTCTCCATGCTGAGTAAAACTATTGGGTGAGCAGTGAAGTGTGGAGAAACGCTGGCTTCTCCGAAGGGTAACAGTTAACTAAGAACGAGACGCTAGCGCCCCTCACGCACCCGCGCACGCCTCCCTGGCTGCCCAGGCGCCGCTTCCTCCCCAGGGGGACAGATGGGGGACTTTTTGCCTGCGTCAATGAGGGCAATGTACATCCCAGCCTCTAGGCCAGGCAAAGGGGCACCTGCCAGGGATGCCTCCTCCCTTCCAGCAAGCAGGCTGGCAGGCTGTGGGCATCTCCTCCTTATACAAGCTGAAGGACTCGGGGTGGTCAGGCTGGGGTGATTGCTGCCAGCCCAGTCGCCTGCCTACTTCTCCCCCCCCCCCCCCCCCCCCCGTTCCTGTCACAGCCTAGCAGGACCCAGACTGGGCTTCAACAGTGGTGTCCTTCAGCAGCAGTGACCAAGCCAGAAGCCTGGGACCTTCACCCCAGTGCAGGGGGATGGGTAAGGCCCTGGCTGGCTTTCTTCTTTGAGGAGCAGCCTATGCTTGCAGGCTCTTGGCAATTCCCTGGCCAGCCAGCCACCCCGCTTGGAAAAGTCCAGGGTTTGGCTCTAAGCTTGGAAGCATGGCGTGGTGGGAAATGAGTAGAAGGGCTGCTGGGTCCCAAACAGGGACCGAAGATGCCTGCCTCTCCCTTCTGCCCTGGCACCCACCCCCTCTGACAGCGGGAAAGAATGGGGGAAAAAGCGTGACTTACCTTCCCCGGGGGAGTGGGAAGAGAGGGGACACGGCCCACTCTGAGCAATTAGAGGAGAGGAGGAAAAAAGTAGGAGGAAAAAAAATATCAACATGACCTGGAAGGCGACAGGTCTTTATGGAAATAAGTAAGTGAATAAATAAATAAATGAGGGCCCACCCTCTCCCCCCTCCCCACCCTGCAAGAGGGGAGGGGAGGCAGAGGGAAGGAGCAGCAAGCAGGCTTTTGAGTGTAACTAAGCATTGGAGAAATAGGCACAGCTTCCACGTGAATTTGGGAGTTTGAAACTTTTGGAGGTTATTTATGTGAATGGCCTGAAGGCAAGCCCGTGAGTGGCTCTTGGGGGACCACGTGATGTCATTAAACCAAGTTTTATGGTGTAGGGAGAGCTGACAAACCCACAATATATTTACATCATATATAATCTTAACTGTCCAGCCACGCAGCTGCTGGTGAGGTTTAATGCTAGGACACAGGGCCTGGCAGTTAGAGGGGATTACGGCGCTGGGATGGTGGTGAGAGAGGTTACATCTTCGCAAATGAATCCCAGGGAACACTGTAAGTTAATTCTCTCCCTTGCTAAGATCTTTTCTCCCATTTACCTAACTCCTCTCCCCTTGATGGAAGCAATTTCTACTCATGGGAGGGGGGCGGCGAGAGGAAGGAGGGCAGTCCAGGCCTCCCTAGGCTGGGCTGGGAAGTCAGAAAATGGGCACAGGGCTAGGGGCTAGCTTGTCTCCTCCGACCTCCCCTCCCCTCCCAGACCATCCAAATAGGCTGGGTTCTACAATCTCTGCCCGCCCCCGCCTCCACCAAGTTCTCTTGGAGCTTCTCTCAGTTGGAAAGTCAGCCGCTGAGCCCGTGTGCAAACTAGACACACAAGCGCAAGTGCCTTGGAGGGGGCTTGTGCGGGGGATGGGGGTGTGTTCAGCCCTCAGGCGGCGGCCCAGAATCTAAGCAGGGTGGGAATTTGGGAACAAGGGCCTGGCCAGAGGGCTTGGTGGCTTTTGAGCCCACAGGCTCTGCTGCCTGGGCTGACAGGAGAACCCCGGCGGTGTGGGGGGGGGGCACGGGATGCCCTACTCCCCCCCCCCCACGACCCGGCCTGCAAGGGTGGCCCTCCTAGCCTCAGTCGCCTAAGGTCTCTGTTGTCCCAGGCTAATATAGCTTCATGCTTCCCTCTCCCTCAGCTTTCTGAGGTCTTCCCAGCATCCCTAGCCTTTGCCTCAGGAAAAGCCAGGTCCCCAAGGCTTAAAAACTTCCTCTGGCGAGTGTCCGGTTTGGGCAGGGTGGGTAGTGGAGTGGACATGATATGCTGGCTAGCCTGTGATATTTCCCCAGCCCTGGGGAGCAGAGAGGGAACCAGCAGGGATCCAGGCATCAGATTTCTAGAAAGGAGCAGCTCAGGCTTTGGATGTGGGAGGCACATGTCCACCACACCTGCCAGTGTGTGCTATACCCCCTCCCCGTGTGTCACCAGGAGTTAAGCCAGGATCTGACAACCTGTGAGCTCATGCTCCTCTGTTTGCTGTGTACAGGGTTCCAAGCAGGGCTGGGAGGTTTGGGAAGTCCAGCAGCCGGCCAGGCAGAGCAAGGGGGAATCAGCTAAGGCCAAATCGGTACCGTCCTCCAAAGGGTGTGTGTGTGGGTGGTGGTGGTGGTGGTGGGGAGGTCTGCTCCTACTTTGTGCAGGATATCAGAGATGCAGCAGGGACCACTGCCCAGGCAGATTCCAAGAGCGTGAAGGGACACAGAGATACAAAGACCCTGAGGCATGAGACCAACTCCTCCTTTCCCAGCCAACACAGGCTTTGCCCACCCCGCCCCACACCATCTTTTGTGTGTTGTTGCTGTTTTCAGGATCCCAGATCTCCTTTGAAAAGTGAAGTCTGGGGGTCCCCCCACCCCTCCACTCCAGGCTGGAATTCTATGGAGTTCTGGAAGCCGAGGACCCCACCAGCAGCAGGGAGCCGGAGGGGAGGGGGCCTGGGTCTGTAACTTGCACCGCCCTCCACCCCTCTCTCTTCCCCCGAGCGCACCAGGGACCCTGGCCGAGGTCTTTAGCCCGGAACTCAACGCCCAGGCCGCGCTTGTTTACACAGCAATGACTTCCCGGCTAGCTTTTTCTGTTCTTTAGGCCCAAAAGGTCCACTTGAATACCACTCTCCTCCTCCTCTGCGACACTCCATCATCTTCCCCATAAAGTCATCAACCTCCCTCAGGTCAGGATTTTCCCCCTCTTTAATATACTGCTTTGTCAGTTCCACCTGGACACGGGACACTGAGTCTTGGGGTGTGTCCACGCCCGAACTGGGGACAGGGGCAGGGGAGGGCAGGCGACGAGGTGGCCAAGGTGCCCCCAGCCAACCCGGAAAGCTTTTCATTTTGTTCCTAGGTCTTTCACTCCCAGGAAAG